TCGAATGATTGAAAGATGAAAATAGGAATAAGAACTCGTCAGTACGACTCCCGTGGATTGAAAAGTTTCAAACTCTCAATATCGATAGCGAAGTAGAAGAGGAGAGAGGAAGTAATATTTTCGACAATGGTACCTTGACAGAGTAAGTGCTACTGTCTGTGTTGAGTTTCTCCAACAGATGATATCCCAATAAAGTACATATGGGAATAGTGCATTGTGGAGTGCACCTTTTCTTTTCTTCTGATTTCTTCGTTCGTCATAATTTCCGCTGTGCACAGAATGTGTAGTGCCAGCAGAAGGAACGGAAAGAGTATGCTACCGCCATTGCAATCTTGAAAATTTGATCGTTTTTTATCAGTGAGCCAAAATGTTTTTTTTCGTCTGTTCTACATGCACAATAAAAGAAGAAGTCGTACCGCCGCCTTGAGTGACTTCTGTCACTTCTATATACAAAATAATTATTAAAAATGATGATGATTCAGTGTTTTTATTTTACAAATATGAGTATCAATCAGCCCTTTTTCTCGCTTCGTTGCTGCCAAGCAACACTCTAAAAAATCAAGACATATGGACTGTATAGACAAGAGAGTTCGTCTGCTTCTACAAGACACTTTGAACTATTTCTGATTGGTTGATATATGAGTGTAGTTGTGGGTGTGAAGATAAGAGCTACACACACTCTTTTTTCGATATAAGAGGGGTTTGCCCATTACTCTAAAAATCCTGATTACACCGCTGTACTGAACCAAAAAGTATTAATGATTTTACTTGTGTAAAACGATGAATTGGTGGTATTATAAACTTATGAATGTTGATTAATAAAGAATTGACTTTATTTTGATAAAAAATATTTTTCCATATTTAATGGTACTCTTGTTATAGGTGGAAAATTAGATGAAGGATAAAGAATATTTTTTAATCGAAATCAGGATATTGTATATAAGAATGTTTGTTCGTTCTTTTTATCAATACGATGTCCAACATAGCAATGCTTTTATCCAAGCCAAAATGATGAACGAAATAGTTCGAGTAATATTGATTCATCTTGATTATGATTAAAAATTTGAAATTTAAAATTGAATTTAATAATATTTGTTTTTCAAGTAAAATTTTTCCATTGATTACCATCAATTAAATCATTTTTACCACTTGCTTGAGGAGTTAGATGTATTAATTGATGTAAATTAGCAAAGACATTGTTCAAGAGATTGAAATGATATGACAATATCTACGATGAGATAAAACATATACAATAATATCAATGGAACACTTGTTTATCTTGGGCAAAATCCTTTTCAATCATTGGCAACGTAGCAAGCCAAATATTTTTCTTTACATGATCCAAAAGCGAATAACTATTTGGAAAGTAAATATGTGAGAGTAAAACAAGAGACAACGAATTCTATCAACATATTTTTATTCAGACTAAACTACGATTACAACACAAAGTCAAACATTCGACACATTTTAATGATTTACCCAACGAAATTTTTCTCATTATGTGCCACTATTTGACTCCGATAGATGTACTCAAAGTGTTTTACAATTATGACAATCGTACATTTTCTTGCATATCCGATTATCGACAAAATATCGATTTGACCAAATCTTCCTATTCGGATCTTCAATATTTTCTCCCATTATTCATCAAAGGATATTTTCGACCTACAACATTGACAATTAGTAATAATCGATTACCAACACAGATCGACATCTTTTACGATGCGTGCGACTTACCATTGATCCTTCATTGCACTGATGTTCGTCATTTATCACTAATTGAATGTACAGACGACAAATTTTGGATTATTGAGTCATGTGTAAAAAACGTTTCTATCATTGCAATCTTTACGTATTGTTGAATCGGCGTCAAATGAAAGTAACAAGTTTTCGAAGTATGACATCATCGAAAAACTTCGCAATTGTATGCTCAATAAACTCGTCGAACTTGAATTGAGTACCAATGAAGGTATCGTACTCGACAAACAAATGCATTCAAATGAATATCTCAAATAATTGACAATTTCACTACAAAAATTCAATGATCTTTTTGTTCTGTTCGATGGACTGGTGCCAAATTTAGTCATACTCAATGTTACTATTTGTCAATCTGATGCATGTAAACGATCACCAATACCACCACAATATTGGTCACGTGGATTAATGTCACATTTAGTTGAATTTAGATTAAAAACTAATGAGAATGTGACAATGACTTTGAACTATTTTCGTGATATTGTCATGCCTCTTGTTCAACTCCAAAATTTAACGATCGACATAAGACAATGGTTTAGTCACGATCAACAATTCGTATAAGAAATTCAAATTGAAATGTTAATCAATGAATTTATGCCTCTACTCCATCATTTTCATTGTTCTATTCAGACAATGCATGATATCGATATGCAGGTAAAAATTGTCCTCTATATATATAAATGATCTCAACGAAGGTTTTTTAAACTTTTACAATGTTAAGCAAACGCTGGTTGATGGCATGCAGATCGGCATCTGACAATTTGTATACGATTCCTTGATCATTCGAGTAACTTCATTTATCGATGATGGCCGAAGATGATACTGAAACTATCTGCCCGAATGTTCAATATCTAACTGTTGATGTGGCCTGCATAAACCTATCGCGCCGTTTTCCGAACGTTCATACGCTCATCATTCGGCCCCAAAGCAATCTTACTCGTGATGACTTTGCAGGATTTCATCATCTTCGACATGTAACAGCGGACAATATGGAAATGGTTTCATCATCTCTAGCACGACATATTCACACGTTGACATTGTCTAAGAATTTCGAGGTGTTGAACAACCCGATCATTTATCCTAATGTACAATATTTGATTTTGGAAAATGATCAAATCGATTCGTTGGTAATTATAACCGTTCTTGTACAATATTTTCCCAATCTTTATTCGATGAAAATTCAATTTAAACCGAATGCTGAATTTTATGATTTTCTTAATATACTGCTCGATGGTAAACATTTACCTAATCTACTCTTGCTCAAAACAAATATGCTCGATGAACACAAATACTGTTCGAATGTTCAAGTATGAATTTCTGCGAATACACCATTAAAATGGAAATCGACTCCATTTTATGGACATCGTGATGACAAGCATTTAACTATCTATTTGTTTGTGACAACCTCTCCTTTCTCGTTATTTTGTCGCCACACTTTAAGTAGATCCGAACCCATTGTTTTCACTTCCATTTTATCTACTCTTGTACCTGATCTATTCATATACATGTATATATCCATTCTTGTTCGCAAATGTATATTAAATGCAATAAATTACATTACACATACTTGTCTATTATATCAGCCATGTTTATGTCTAAAAAAGCTTTTAGTTCAATCCTTACAGAATTCGTTGGATCACATTGTGAGAATCCCAGACAAACCTTTTCGACATAATTGTACAGAATCTCACAAAATGCGACGGATTTTTTGACTATCACAAATTTCAATCAAGGCTCTTGTTCTAAAAGACTGCAAAAAAAGCTTTGCGCTAATATTGTCTTCTCAATCACCAATTACAAATTTTTTCTTTTCGATTTAGGCTCTAAAAAATGCTTAATGTTATCACAGAGTATCTTTTTTTATTCAGTCTTAATCACCGTACCTACCCGATGAAAAATTTTACCCATTAAAATAGATTAAAATTTCAAAATCATATGGTCATAATTATAATTATCAATCTGATTATTCTTCAAAAAAAAATCACAATTAAAATCTATGAAAATAATTTGTAAATCCATTATAATGAAATAAAATTTCGATTTTATGATATGACATATTGAGTAATAATATCACGAGAGAACCATTTCCAATAGTTAAAAGCTTTTGAGTGAAATTTTCGTTATTAGATAGAGCCTATAGCGACTCAAAAACGTCTAAAACAAACTATCTCATTGGGTCTCTTTTTCTCAGGTTATATATAATTAATTAAATCTTGATTAATGACAAGATATATCATTAAAAGTCGAATTTAGAAATTCTGATATGTAATTTTGCTCACAAAAGTCTCAGTCAAAAGAAAAATGATTTCATCTCGAGATATAAAATTCATAAAGCTAGAATTTTCGAGTTCACAGTAAAAGAAATGTAGTTTGTAAAGCATCTTATACCTTGAGATGAAAACATCCATTTTAACTGAGACTGTCGGTACATTATTGTAATATTGAGATCTTAGTGGGTAGAACTCCATATCAGAATTCCTAAATTCGACTGTTTATGATATATCTTGACATAAATGATAGTTTAATTAATTAGATGTAACTTGAGAAGAAAGATCAAATGAGATGATTCAGTTTAAACATTATCAAGTCTCGATAGACCTTCAAAGCAGGAGATGTATCCTCTCGAAACCTCGGAAATAATGAAGCATAATGTCTCTACTCATACTAATTCAGTAGCTAGGGCCGCTGCGTTCTTCCATCCCACTTGTAGTTAAAATTCTAGTTTTCGTGACAGCTCAATTTAATGTAACTCTATTTGCAACAGGATAAAGCATTATAGACAGTATCGATACCGATAACTATCTGTTTTTTTTAATATTATCTAAGAAGACTAGCATTGGCTTCCATCGTCTAAAACTCTAGCATAAAAGAACTCAGTGATATCTGGTATTGTAACTTAAATGTCTAAAGATGCCGGACGGAGTTATAAGGATGTGGGTGCGGATATGAGTGTAGGAATAGTGCTGGCTCTTGTTATGACATCCACAGTCACATCCAAAATACGTTGACTGGTAAATAGAGATTATTTTCTACTACATGTATTCCAAAAACGAAAAACAAACAACCAAACAATAAACAAGTTATACATCTTGCAAGTGAGGGTGTGGGGTGTGGTTGGTTGCACACATGACAAAGACACCCACATACAGCTGTTATCTCCTTTCTTTTTTTCTAGAAACAAAAAACAACATGTTAGAATATTAGTACGTTTGTGAATAGAGAGCAAATAATGGATATAATTTCGTTCATTCTTTGGCATAAAAATTTTCCAATGGTGGAATGCCTTCTTTTAATCCTTTACGTTGTCGAATATCATTAATAATTTGTCGAACTTTAGTTGAATCATCAAATGAATCTTGATTTATAACTTTCCAATGATCAACTATACATTGTGAAAATGCATGATCATCTGTATTTGAACAAAGATCAGCAGTAAAAGCTATGAAAATAAAATAAATATGAATACAAATAAAAATCGAGATTATTCGCTAATCAAATGATTCATTGACTGGTAAATAACCTTTAGCAATAAACATTGATGTTCCAGCTACTTGATGTTCTTCAAAAACATAACCACGACGACGATTTAATACACCATAAACTCTACCAAGAACAACTTCTGGAAACTAAATATAATTATTATAACTATGAAAATCAAAATTTGTTTCCTCTTTAACACACTTCTATTCTACATAAATAGACTGGTTCGAAAAGTTGTGGTTTAGCTGTGAGCATTGATGTATAAATTACACGACGAGTTACTGGAATAATTTGACCATCACCACCACGACGTATCGCATCACTATTCAATGTAACATCATGAATATCAAAACGAACACCACGAACATTTTCTTCCGCAAGTACACCTTCTTGTGTAGCCCAGTGGAATCCAGCAATACAATAATCTTTTATTTCATTTAGATATTCTACACCTTTAGTACAATCAATAAAAAAATTTGGTCCAGTTCGTTCAGGTCCAAAACACCAAATTCTACGTGCTTCATTTATATCATAATCATATTGTTCATTTAAGTAACGTGCACGAGCTTTGACTTCTTGATGTGATGTTACTTCACCTTCATCAATATCTTCCAGTAAACCTGAAAAATTAATTGAACAAGAGTTTCTCAAATCTAATAATTAAAATATATTTTTTTACCATTAGGCATAGGTCGAGCTTTCAGGTAGATACGACTACGCTTATTAGACGATTTTGCTAGACACATTATTTCAGATTCTTCAGATATAGTTTCACGATATGATAGGATTGAATCAGAAACTTTTTGTTGGAATACAAGCATATTCTTCTTCAATACAATATGTTCACCAGATCCTTCAATATTGCACTTCAATAAAAAAAAAACTATAATTCAATATACAATTGCATCATAAGTTATTATTTTAAAAAAATCTTACCTGAATCATAAAATCTGATTTAGCTAAACGTTTCAAATCTTCAGCTAATTTTGGTAGATCAGCTGGATTTGTTAGTTTAGCAGCAATATGTACGACTGGAGTGACACTAAATTTAATTACCTACAAAAATATATAAATATTCTTCATAGAACTTCAATAAAACAATATACTCGAAGATTGTATGCATTTTCAAATGTTGTTATTGTACCAGTTCTAACTAGATATTCATCAATACCACCAAGACCACAGATATTTCCAGATGGTACATCTTCAATTGATTCAATATAACGACCCATTGTAAGAACTGTTCTGAATGCAGAACAAATAAAATGAACTTGGTGAACTGTCGGTAACAACAATGTGAGTAAATCTTGAACGATAGTTCTAGGCTGCTCATCTGTTTACTTGATTGCTTTCAAAGTATTGTTTCGTGTAATTTTATTTATACTGAAAAGAAGCAAAGTCTTTGAATTCATCTGTTACGGAACATGTTGTCTACAAAGTGACGTACTTTATTGTCAAAATCAATCAGAATATTTGATATCGATAGACTTTCACTAGCCATCTTCTTTTTCCTTTCCTTCATCAAACACGGCTGGCAATCTTCATATTGTAAGCATGATGACTCTAATAAAAGCACTAACTAACAACCAAGATCAATTATTTATATGTCATTTGCAATAAGCCACTTCACGGCTATATTAGCGATGNCTATAGCAGCAGAACCAAAATAAAACTGTATCACTCCCACATTCCAGTCTGAAAAAGATGATGCTTTTGGCTAAAATTGAAAAGCTATTCTTTTTTTAATATCACCAACAATATACACGGATTTTTTTTACTGATATCTACTTGAGTTTCTCGAATTACTATGAACATCAGCTCATGCAAAGCTTTGATTATTGCTTTTTAATTATTTGTTTCATACTTTTTTGAAATGAAGAATTATTGGTGCTTTTATTCACAGTAAGTGGTTCATAAGGTTTCGAAAACTTGAATAATCATGGAAACAAATGATTTAGACAATTTTCTATTTCATTTTGATAGCACAATCGAGTATCTTGCCTTTCTTTTCGTAAGAGACCATAAAAACAAGTGTTTATGAAATTGCTGTTAACGCTTTAAATGGTCTGAAAAAAAAATCGGTGCATATTGTAAGTAACATAAGAAAATGTCTAATTTTTCAATTGTAGCCAAAAGTGTTACATTTTTCGGACTGTTGATGAAATTAGTACTTACGAAACAAAGCTTTCTAATATTCTATTTCAAACAGAAAAAAAAAGGTTTGCATCAAACTTGATCAGTAACGGAGTTATATATATTTATTAATCGGTCATGACATGTGACAAACCGTATGCATTTATCTACGTTTTTGTTGAGTTCTTTTATTTTGAAATAAATATTGACAAAGAGGGAAGTAACTTCTTGTAAAAAATAACTATAAAATCTCTAGTTCCCTTTTTTTCTATCAGAAATCAACAAGATAATTCAAGGATAAATAATTTCTTTAAGCTGATTCCATAAAAAAATCTTTAGTAGAATTTATAAATTATGTTTTTATACATGTAGATAAACGAATGCTTATGTTTTTTATTCAAGGAATTATACAGAATGTAATAAGAAATGGCTGAATTTTGGAAATAAAATCGAGACCGGATAAAAAAAAACGTCGATTTTTTAGATTCATGATTTTAAAAATGTAAAACAGGTATTTAATCAAAATTCAAAAACCTTGACTAGATATTTTGATTGTCGATATTTTTTGTTCTGTCATTGATGCATTCTTTTTATACAAAACCTCTCTTTGATGGATTATCCATTAATTGCTTAAATTTCATATGAATTTATTGAGAAATTATCTTCTTGTTCATGAATAAAGTGTCTAGAGTAAAAATTAATTTAAGAAAAAAACTGAAGTAATAGATGAACTGTTGTCGTACACTACGCAGATATTCAAAGATGACTTACGATTCACTTTTTTATTTTACTTTTTTTTTTTTTTTATAAAACTACACTTATCTATTTATGATTAGTTTTTTTTCGATCTACGACTGAAAATATTTAAAGGTGAAAAAAAATTAGAAAAGAATCACAGTAAGCATTTATTCTCATAACAGAGAAGACGAAAGATACGTTAGGATAATATAACAAAATGACGTTTTTGGCGTTGTACTTTTTTTTTCTTTACTATAAACAATCCAACCACTTCGGTAAATATGCATATCCTGTAGTTATTCGACAGAAATGATGTTGTTGTTTTTTGACATCGTTTTATTCATTAAAATATGTCTAATATAAATTATGTGGTAATGAAATAAAAAAGAAAACTATTAGTTTGTTAGATGATTTCTTCACGAATTAGTAAAATGAAATATACAGAGAGATTAATTTTGAATATTTAAACGTAACTACTAGTAGTTATATTTATTGAGAATAAATATTCTGGATCAAAATATGGAGCTTAGACTCTTTTTATATGAGAACTGAGTCAATTTTTAACGACATAAAAAAGTCTGAACATATATTAATACACGAATGTTGATAACAGAAAAAAAAAAGTTACAAAAATATTAATAATCTATGTTCCCTTGCTGGATCTCATTTGATATGCAATGGTCTTAATGCAAGCACTTACAAAATGATACTAATATAGAAATATATATACGATTATCAAATATGCTTGTTTTAATATTTTATGTTTGATAAAAAGAAAACGTGTTTTATAGAAGAGAAATATAATTTGTACATTTTCAAAAGTGGCTAATCATTATAAAAAAATAACCTGTAAAGAATGTTTGTTACCTTCTTGATTAATAAAAACACATACAAATAAAAACCAATCGATAGTTATGCCGAAATAATCTAAAGTTTATTCCTTTTTAACTGATTTTATTTTATATGTATAAAATTGAAACATCGGATGTACTATTAAGAATCATTTACAATGTACACTATTTCACGGAACGGAAAGCAATTCATTAAGATATGATACTCAGAGTCTGGAAATGTATGCCTTGGAGAATCAAGGATGAACCATGCATCGTTTTCTTCTTGTATGAAGAATATTTAAAAAAGAAGAAGATCAGTACGTTGTTTGTATCGGTTAAGAATGATTAAGATAATATTCTTTCACTTTGTCAGAAGATTATAACGAAATCTTATATTTCAACTTAGTTGTACATTTTTTACAATGAATCTCATTATCAGATCGTGGGAAATTGAATATGAGAGAAAAGCGAACAGGTTCTGATGTCGAAAGCTTGCTATGAAACTCTTTTCAACTTTTTCTTATCTGATAGATCATCGTAAGTGCTACAAATGGAGTATACGAACTTCTTCTATTCAACTGAATAACGTTAAAAAAGAAAACATTCGTTGAAACGTAGTGCTTGTTAAGACATAGTAGGGCTACTCTTCTTCCTTTGCTTTCACGACTAAATCTTGTACATACTTTTTTAACATAGTTTTGTGGGTGTGGATCTTCTCTTCACCTACACCCTTTATTCGATAATTTTTTCATAATATGTAACAAACCAAGTTTCTTGGCTAAGAGAAGGAAATACAAGAAAAATTGTTGACAAGAAAATAAAAAAAGTTGTAGAATGTCAAGAAGTAAGAAAAGCGAAGAAAGTTTGATGATTCTGTTTTTAACTGGTGGCACGAGAACCTATTCCCGATAATAAACTTCTAAAAGCAACTTCAATTGGAGGCAAATTGCCCGCTTCGACCGCATCTCGACATAGTGGACATCGATTCTGTCTTCGTAATGCATTTAGCATGCAATTGTAATGAAAAGTATGTTGAGCTAGACATGGCCATTGAGAATAGTGATCACCTAATTGTAAAGCATCTTGACAAATAACGCAAATTGTTTCAAACTGTTGATTATTCACAATTTGACCACCTTCGAGACGAAATCGTGCAATGAAGCGAGGTGATGCAGAAACTTCTCGATTCCAGATTCGTTCTAGATCATGTTCATAATTATTACGTTGTATCTCTTCCTCTTCGTTAATAAGAGTAGTTAGACGATAAAGATTTTGCCTTTCCAGAACACGAATAGCTTCTTGTTGCTCGCAAAAATGCTTTTGTTCATAACTTAAACAAAAGAGAAAAGAAAGGTTTTATAAAGACAAATAAATAAGATAGCGTACCAATATCGGTAGTCTACACTGTAATTCATCAATCTTTCATGAAGCCATTCAGCGACATCATTGTTATTATTGCCAATCTTCGGTAGTGGAATCTTGTCTACATGATAGGCATTCGAAATCGAAATATATTTTGAGTTAATTTCCCTAATAGATGCAATGCTAACAATAGTGAATGGTATTGTCATAGAGAATTGATTTAGGATTTTTGGGTCCCTTTCATTTACTTTGATTTTAAAAATAATCAGATGTTCAGCTTGTAATAAAAACAATTGTTTACCATAGTTATTCTCCTTTATAGTCCTCATTAATAGATAGTCCAACATTTCAAGAGAGTCGATTTTGAATCTATTCAGTAAATGTTGAACATCACGATAAATGACTAGTTGAGATCTGCCAAAAACTTGCCAGTAAAATAGAAAAAGATCAACAATAATTGTTATAGCTCTCCTCAAACACCATAAAAATAGAATACTACCACACAAATAAGACATATAAGGTGAATATGAAGAAGATGCATCAAATGCTGCAACGAGCGAAGTAAATCGATAGGACTGATTTGAATACCAAGTGAACACTGGTTCATTTTGACAATCATACAGATATCCAAGTAAGATGCCACATTTCGTGATAACTTTCACATTAAAATCAGTCGCATTTTGATCATAAATATCTTCAATCATTTTTATATGCGTTGACCTCTCGAAATTTGATTGATATAATTCCGGTGAAATATCAATTTGTTGAGCAATACATTTTAATGTATTTGAATTAAATAGCTCAAAACGATATGGTAGACGTTTGTGAAAATGTGATTGTAAATTTGTTGGTAATTTAATTAATAATTGCATTGGAGCATTGGCAATACTTTGTTCTTTAATAGGATTAAATGTATACAATAATTTTTCGAATATAGGATGACGATAATATACTCCATATACATGTTTTGGATTGTCATCAATTTTATCTTCACCTAATTCGATTTGAAGATTCTCTTTATCAAATAAAACCAAACTCGACAAGAACGAACGTTCTTTTGATACATTTCCACTATAGACTTTCCAATAATTTATAAATTCATCAAGATTTAAATGAAATGGACCAGCCCATGCATTATAGATACGATTGTGATATTGCAAAAAACAAATAACAAAAATAATAAATAATAAATATAAACATTTGAATATCAAACGATTCAAATATTCATTTTTTTCATGTTGAATTTGTGACTCACGAATGCGTTCAAACAGTTCTAATACAGATGGTGACTTAGCAATGACATTGCTGAATCTAGTTTTATACCACTGACGTAACATGAAATTTTTATCTAAAAATGGATATAAAAGAAAACAACATATACCTCATAGAGATAGCTCTTATGAAATAATTCGAATCCTATTGTGGTTCATGTGAAGTTTAAATGCACCATCACATCCATTTAGCGTATTGAACACATAAACCCGAGTGAAGATGAGGGTGGGCTTCTACTGCACATTTATCGATGCAATATCATGTAAATAATGCTAACCTGTTTTGTTTTGAATGTAAAAAGAAATATAAAAACAAGAAATGCTATCAAAAGAAAGAGAAAAGAACGTGATCGCCATAAGCGTTGCATATTTTGCTCGGTAACCAACGAATGATCTCCATTATCAAATAATATTTTTTTCAATAATTAATAGTCAAGAAAATTATCAACATAAATTAAAGGCTGATGGTCTATTGAAAATTAAACACGAATGGGCATGATGTGCCAACTATCATGACATAATAGTAGCATTCTAAGGGAATATGAATGATATAAACACATTCGCAGAGATGTTAGCGATCGGTGGCTTACACTATATTTGTGCAGTAGTGAGGCGGTCATAAAAACAAAAAGCTCTCGGAAAATTTCTTTATTTGGCTGATTTTGTGGATCTATGTGCGCTAACCGTTTTGTTAAAAAAATATTCTGTATTTGATAAATGAATGATATTCTTGGGTCAAAATACTAAAAAAAGTTGCCGTTGTAACAAAAAGAGATGTTTGAGGTTTTACAATATTCTCATCCTAGCAACGTTATTCACTGACCAAAGTTGAAATATTTTTTCATGAAAATGATCAGCGCAGATAGCTCAAGAGGAAAACAGCGGACTTTTGGACTTGAAGTTACTTTGAGCTACTTGAATGCATAGTTTCCGTTTGTTTTTGCTTAGGAGGGGGAAAATCTCAGGGATAGAGTCTTCCAAAATTAAAGAGAAACCATTTATCCATCAATCTTTTTAGAAGAATATATTCTAAGCTGAAACTTTTAATTCTCTCATAATCAATTGTGAGCATATATATTTTCTTCACTGCTATTTCTTGTGTAAATAAATCCTTAACGTATTTTCTGATCAATAGAAATAAATATATTTTTACTACACACAAAAACTATCTACATAAATATTTGAATAGTTAGGGTGTGGGTGCGAGTGTTGTTATGGGTACATTCTTTATCCATACCCACATCCACACCCATACTCACACTCACACCCCCACTCACCCACACCCACACCCCCACCCACCCATACCCACACCCACACCCCAAATATTTACTAATGTTAGAATATATTTAGGTGTGGATGCAGATGCCGATCTTTTCTTCATCGATAATCACACCCACACTCACAGCAGTACCCATGACCACCCACACCTCACACTCCCCTTATCAAGAATGACAGAATTTTAAAGTTTCTTAATTTATGTTTCAGTAGTAAACCCATGTCCAAGTGTTATTAGCAAACATATCTTTGATTGAGTCGAGTGTAGTATTTGAAAACTCATTATTTCGTATACCCAAGTATTTGAGTTGACTTAAATGTGCGAGTTCCTTCGGCACACTAGTTAATTTGTTGCCATCTAAGTACAAATACGCAAGCGTCTTGTTGAGTTTTATTATGTCAGTTGTAATGGATGCGATGTGATTTTGAGAAAAGGCAAGAAACTGAATTTGTTCTAATGAACCAACGGTATTTATATCAGCAAGATGGTTACCATCCATATCTAAGCTTGTGAGATTTCGTAGTAGTGCCAGTTCTTTGGGTATGCTTGTGAATCGGTTATTATATAGTGAAAGCGTATTTAGGTTTATCAATTTCCTGATACTGTATGGAATAGACGTAAGTGCATTGTGGCCGAGACCAATACTTTCTAACGCAGTCATGTCGGTAACCACGGATGGAATTTCTTCCAATTCACAGCCTCTCAGCTCTAAATAACGCAGATTGGGAAGTGCTGTTATCTCTAGCCACAATAACATGCGAGGATTGTAGTCAAGTATCAGTGAATGTAACGAAGTCAGTCCTTGTAGATTATGAGGTAATCCAGTAAGACGGTTGCCAGTCAAGTCTAATGATTCTAAATGTTGAAGGTTGCTTATTGAGCTTGGAACATCGTCTAGACTACAATACATAATGTTCAAACGTCTGAGGTTAATAAGCTGGCCGATTTCGGCAGGTATATGTGTCAGTTTTCTGCTCTTTTCAATCTTAAATTCGGTTAATTGAGTGAGTTCTCCGATTTCATCTGCCACGTGTGTGAAGTTAGAATTTGCAGATAAGATAATGGATTCAAGATTCGAGAGAAGTCGTATTTCAGGAAGCAAGCGATTAAGGTTAGTTTCATAGACATTTAACGCCTTTAAATTTCTCAAGCAATAGACGATCAATGGAATTTTATTTTCATGTACTATTGACAAGGCGATTACATGCTGGTTAGCATCGGTTGTATATTGTGAATGTTCATAAGACCAGGTAAAAGGCAGCAGATTGATCACATCAAGATCCGACTGGAACAGTGAACAATCAACAGTTGAAATACATGCTTCGTAGCGTAGTTGCGGATTTAAACTGGCCGTCTCTACAGAAAACAAATTATTGAATTTTTTTCAGTGAAGACAAGTTTTTTTTTAACAAAATATGATACCTATGTTGTTCACTAGTGATGCCAATATAAAAAGGATAACACGAAGCACATGCATTCTAGCTGGTCAATATCGAACAGAACTGGAAAAATAAATCAGTGCAAAAAGTTTTTTTTTTAATAGGAGTAGGTCTACGTTGTAAATTTTTATCGTAACAATAAATGTCAAAATAAATCTGTTGATTTCGTATCTGAAGGCTCTGCGATCATAAACAACGCTCTTGAATGAAATTATGAGAGATAGAGCCCTCGTTTATAACCATTCAGTGTGATAGTTGCAAAGGTCGTAAACGTTGACTTAGGTAGGTCGAATAACAAATACATTTATTCAGCTTTACTTAATCAAGTACACTTTGATACGACTTATCTTGAAAATACAATCAGAGAAGTCTTTCAACATTATTTAGCTTCGAAGACTACACTCATTTGCGTCTATGACATGTATGTGTTAAACTGATTGCTGTTCTTCTTGTTCTCTAAATATATTTTTTGTTCGTTTTATTTTATGACAATGATAAGATGTATGTATATACACAGAGGCAAATCTCTTGTGAAGATGATAAATAGAAGAATCCCTACGCTGTTTTTTTAATTATTTTTAGAAATAAACCAGCATGTAATTAAACATTAGCTCAGTTTTTCTCAGCAGCTTGGTTGAGTGCCATGTTCACTCCGATTAATTAAACGTTTAACAGGTTTCCACTGATACTTTACTATACAATCTATTCATTGGCTTGCTTATCAGTAAATACATACGGTCGCAAATCAAAGGACTGAAGAAAGAAACACTTCAATTAATCGTACTGGATTTTATCTGTTTTTTTCTTTGCCTGCAAACACCATAAGCATTGTATTCATTTCTTTACAGATAGCCATCAGTGAAACATTTCAGAACAGAACTTCAATTGAATGCATATCATTTTTTCTCATCGTCTGTAATTTATTAAAGAAGGAATGTTTTGTAAATAAAAAATACTTCTAGATAGTGGCTTTTCTTCTACTTTATTTTTGATAGTTTTCATTTGAATATTGTATACTTTTCTTGATTCTGGGTGTGGGTGGTGGGTGGGTATGGGTGTGGGCGTGGGTGGAGTGTGGTGTGGATGGATGGGGTGTGGGTGTGGTTGAAGGAAAGATAAACCCAGATCCACACCCACGCCCATCCACACCCTATTGAGACAATATGCTGAATGGCAAATGTTATTAGATGCGAATAGTGTAACTCCTTCAAATGAAGATCTAAATGATAATGCTGATATAAATAATGTTAGTCGATGGTCGGTTGAAACTGATCTTAGAAAAGATTTATGGAAATATGTTCAAATAACATCAAGTTCAATTAAACAATGAAAAAATACATTGATTAATGAATTATTCTTTGTTTTTATTTGTATTTTATAAAGCTGAATGTATTTTTCTAGTTTAATATTCGTCGAGTACAACAAGAAAATTTCTGAAGATGATTCAGTTGTTCTTCATTGGATAATAATACTTAAAGATTTTGAACAAAAAATTGATTTACTTAAAAAAATGATCAAATGAAGCAATGACTGTATGTTTTATTATATTGAAAAGAAGTCTAAAAATTAAACAATTATTTTTATTTTAGACAAAATATGGGAAACTTCTGTTTCGTACCAATGTTTATGATTATGATCCTCATTTTAATTATCGTACTCAAGATTTAATTGATTTATATATTCTTAAAATTGAAAATCAAAATGTTATTAAGTAAATACAGAAACAAGCAACAAGAGAACAAAAACTTAAAGATAAATTAATACAAATACAAACATGGCTTAGTGAACTTCATTATCGAATGACTAAGTATCGACCTGTTTTCAAAACTACTCCACGTAAATTTTATGGCTGTAGTCAAGTACTTTTCGCCTTCGCCTTCATTTTCGACAAAAAAATCAATTATTCAAATCGAGTATAACATACATCAGTGTAGAGTGTGAATACAGTTTTTAACTTGACGATTCATGTTATGAATAGAATGTTTACATTTATTTTAATGCTCCAATGTAATTCTCATTATAAGCTATATAGTTTTGGAATTGTACCATCTACAGATTCAAGTTCATTGAACTTCTTTCAGTTTAACGGCTAATGCTTCTGATCAATTTTAGTGGATCGCTCTAATCAAAGAATTATCCTATGAAGAAATAATAAAAGAACAGTATATTTTTAAAGTTATATTTAATAGAGTTTCAGCAAAACTATCAATTGATATGTAAAGCAGCTTGCTTAAGTTAATAAGAATTGACATTAAAAAAACGATTATGGGATGATTTTGAATTGACACATTTCGTTGTCTTGTATGAAGCTCTTAAAAACCTATTAGAAACTATACATTATCGCAGACTATATAATGAAGATTTTATCATATTTAATAGTACAATATGGTGATCAAACACATATTGGAAGTTTTCATAGTTTTCGAAACAGTTCCAGTTTTATTTTGATGAACTAACGAGGAAATCCCATCTGGTGAGTGAAAGTTTTACAGCTTATAATCTGGTCATAAGTAGGACTTGGTTAGAGTAGAAAAACTCTAAAAGAATTTGCTCTCATAGATAGACCTAGCTGTCTGAAATATGAATGTTCCTTGTTTAGGAGGGAAAATATAAATACATTGTCTGTTATGTTTGAATGAGAGGATCAAAATATTTAAAAAATCAAATCTCTTTGATCAACACTCATCGATAGGAATGCTTTACGTGTTTATCATACGGATCATCACAAGAGACTTGTAGAGATTGCTGAAATCTTTTGGTTATTGACTCATTAGATAGTCGAAACTTAAACATATGACCCAAATATTACGACGGCTGAAAATCGACTTAGTTTTTTTTATGTGTAACAGTTCAGTTAATGTTATAGTTGACAAAAAAGTGATCGAAATATAGATCTTTTCGATATGAATTATACATGATGAAAGACGATTGAGGAAGATGCTCAAAGATATGTGAAGCACACGTCAGTAATAATTCTAATCTATTGAAATATCAATCTTAAATGCTTCTTCTCTATGGAAACTACTCTGTCAAATCAATATAACAACATCATTTCCATAACAGTTTTATATTCCCTTAGTTTTTCATCAGTGGATGAAATTCCCTCATCAGATATGTTATAATAGATCTGATAGTTTATATATCTCATATGAACTCTGTATAAGACACACTATAAACGATTTCGTAAATGTTTGGTTATTCATTCATGACTGTATCATATGCAGACGCTCGTCAATAACACTTACAAAACGGCAGTGTTAGATTCCTTGAAGTTTTACATGAATACTTTTTCTTTTAATGAATATTGATTACAGTTAAAATTTCTTTAATATTTAAAATGTTTAGTTCGCAATCGTATAACATCCTCTTATCGTCAACGTTTAATTCTATATCGTGAATAACGTGCACGTACAACAACAACTCACAAAACTTCATCGAAAATAATTTTAGCTACAAAAACATCAATTGATACTACTAAAGAAGCTTACATTATGATTAATTCTCAAGAAATTTTTGTTTAATTGAGGTTTGATAAAAAATAAATTTTATCACTAAAAAAACAAATGAATAAAATGAATTTAGGATTGTTTATTATTATTATTATTACATAGAAAAAAAAAAGCAAAATTATTTATTCGATATACGAAGTTTGTTTTTACTTTAATTCATAAGAAAACGTCAAAAATTTCTGATGAAAATTTTAGATTTAAAACTGAAGATCAAATAAATGTACTAATTACAAATCAAACAAAACAACGATACGTAATTATTCAACAATTATACTTTCGAGATATTTTATCAAGTAAAAAAAAAATATATTTATTTGTTTTGTGTGTTCTCTTTTTTTCTTTAAAGGATTAATTGATGTTGAAAATGATTTGACATTTAATAGTTATGAATGGTTATCTTTGATTAAATATGATAGATGAAAATTCTCCAACAGAAAATAAAATTCATTTTCTGCAATTTTCGAATCGAATTCATTATAATTTTGAATTTATTGGTATGAAACTAAGATTTTTATCGACTCGATCCCTCATGAATAACGCACCGTAAATCAAGTAGTATATAAGACAACACGTTGACTTGTTTATAGAAAGTTAAAAGAGCTCACTTGAGGGTGTGGGTGTGGGTAACCTTATTGTGATCTTTGCACATCCACACCCACACCCACACACCCTAATTGAACCGCATTGATGAATAAAAAAGGCATGTATGTACGTTTAGTACATTACCACAATACTGTCGCTAACATCTCTTAAATACGAAGATGAAGACAAGAAAAATGAATCAGTTGTTGGAAACATCTTCCCAAGTTCTTATACATGCATCAATACTGAGTAGCAACAACTTTAGAACACAAGAAAGTAAATTCAAATTAATTTTTCATAATCTTGAACTACGCAATGGTTTATTTTAGAAATATTCTTTACGTTTTGTTTTGATGACTATCTTAGTATGACTTGTTATACTACCAAAAAGCAAAGGCTGCTCCATAACTATAAATCTTCATATTAAATTTTTTTCCAATACTACTTCGCGATTATTAAAGAAAGATTCTACCTTTGAACAATTATAAATGCATCGGTAAGATAAAATAAGTGTGTCAACTTAATTTAGAATAATGAGAAAACGAAAAAGGTATAGCGCATTATCACTGAATGATGTTAAATATATTCGAGCAAATATGTTTACCATATCGTTTACTATTTCAACAACCCTGACTGTTATATTTATTGTATCTCCTACTGAAAGGGCAAAGCTTCAAATATAGATTTTGAGCTATGCATCGTTTACGAATCCATCTTAAGTGTATTTTTGATGCATACACTTTTTCTAAGCATTTTTTTCGTAGTGTAGTCAAACCTGTCGAAGTACGATTTCGTACTGCTGATGTTCTGTTGCCGATACAATAGAAATCTTCATTATAGAATTTTTCAAAACTTTTCGTTGAGATCATTTACTTAGCTTATGAACAAAGCTTTCGATTTTTCTCTAGACCATTTGCTATTCAAGAGATTGTCAACTATTCCCTATTCATGATACTAAGAAGGAAGAAGAATTCACATTGTTGAAACATGACTTAATCATACTTTAAATTTTAGCTTGAAACAAGAACAAGATAGAGAATTAACAATCAAATTTCTCGAAGGATCTTTTATCCTTTCAATCAACGGGGTTCCTTATAGTCCTTGATAAAACTGATTCTCAAGTGTTTACACCTGTCATAGCATTTAAGAACCCTGACGTGACTTGTGGAATAGATACTGATAAGTTCATTTAATTGTACCCAATGAAGATTGTATGAAAACTAAAAGCGATACCAAACAGGAATAGATATGTAAGTAGGCTTCATATACGTTCAAGATCGTGTTTCGCGTATCAATTTATACAGCAAAAAAATATTCTATCCTGATCTTTATTAGATACCTGATAAAAAAGTAAAAAGGAAGTCATAGTTTAGTAATGGTGAAGTTCTTCCATCGGTCTTATCATTATTGATAATACCACTACAGATAAACCATCACTTTCTGACCTCCCTCTGTTCTGATCATAGAGCAGTATGTTAACTTGGAACGATATTGATAATGAGTAATGACGACATCGATAGAACGTAGAATGTAAATATCATTTGTTCGAAACCATCCTTCGTATCTATGTACCCATCATATTCGATGAGTAATGATGCAGCTTCAATTATGCTTTCATAGGTACGGAACGTGTACGAGTCAATATACGTGTGAATCATTAAAAAAAAGCCATATGCATTCTGATCGTCGTTTTTGTTTACTTATTTTTATGAGTACTAGTTTTTGAGTTAAAAAGAAGGTGAAGAAAACGTTAAAATCAGATCATGCGAAACAAAAATACAAACGATTTGTTATTTTATTACTTACATTTAGCATATGTTACTTAGTGCATCTAATTCAATTTTCTCTTTCTAGCAATTATTTATGGTCCGTTTGACATTTTCAGTAGACAGATTTGGTGTCAGAAAATAGTATGAGCTAATTTGAAAAAGGGTGTGGCTGTGACTGTGGGTGTAACTGTATCTGGAATGAAAATTCATACTCATACCCACACACCACACCCTTCTTTTTTCACTATGTCAGTAGACTATATTTTTATTTTTCGCTGTCTATTGATCTAGATTTAGTCTGCCATTTACTCTAGGTCATTTGTCTTTGTTTAACTCCTTTGTTATTACCATTAAACTCTTTATATACATATATATTCATTTAATTTCAGACATATTGCCATTCAAATTGTCATTTAGTTTTTGAATAATCTTCGTCGATTGTTGGATTTAAGCCCTCAATCACTTGCTATTGTTGTATGTTTACATTGATTTTATTCTTATTTATGTTGTTTAATTCTACGGTGAGCTATGTTCAATTCTTCGTTTGTTATTATTTAACTTTCATCACTCGTCTAGATTCAATTCATTTGATATATTCCACAAATATATATATTCATTTACATTCATATTGTATATTGTGGGTGTGGGTGTGGGGTGTGGGTAGCTATTAGACAAGATCATTTCTTCAACCACACACCCACACCCCACATTGATATCTTACACGATATAAATTTTTTGTTCTCTATACTGTTGGCCATATTTATATACGATCTCTGTCTACGTGTGTTTTATGTATTCTCTGTAAGATTATTTTGTCTGTTCTACATATTCTATCGGTTAGTTAATATGTCATCCTTACTTGGCACGCATGTGTTTGTAGATGCCAAGATTCATAAGAAAAGAACAAAGAATTTTTGTCCTCAAGCAATGGTAGATATCAGGGAAAAGATTACGAGCAGTAAATACAGCTTTTCTAAATGAATTTCCTGACAAGAAAGCTCCAAACCCACAAGAAATTTTTCAGCTAACAAAAAATTTTGATNGCCATGTATAACCTCAGTCTAGTTAAAATATCTCTGAAATATTTCCTTGTTGAAGTTCTATGGCAAAAATTAAGGAATAATGACGAAGTATTATACTCGGATTTACATAAAAAGACGACTTTCTAGGGAATTAGTAACAATAGGTATATCGTGTTTCACATTTTAATTTCGCAGAGATTGCGCTAGCAGCTGTTTTTTGACTATTATATGTCGGGAAGGAAATACTCTTTTGAGCTGAAATTTTCACGGCATCCTATTTACAAATAGATCTATCTGTGAGTAAAAACTCAGATCGAAATATCGCCATTTGATGCTTTGGGTATATACCATGCTATAGGCTAAAATCCCAGTAAAATGACTATAATTCTGGACAGAAGGTCTATCTTATGCACAGAGCCCAAATCCAAAAAGTGATTAGACAGTTGAAAACGTTCTCTCATAAGAAGATAATCGCATTTGATAGGATTTATGAAAAAATATATTTCCTTTGAATGAATTTGTCGCAATGATCTGATCTGGAAGATAGTGTGCGAACTTCTATTATTGTCTCTTAAAGTCTATGAACATATAGTTTCGTATGATTATAGTTATTTAATACACAAGGTTGTGTGCAGAAGGACAAAAAAAAATCATATTTAAAATCTCCTCTTCACCGCTACTTCAAAGAGTTATGTTAGTCACTATACAACATCATATTAACCATGTACGTCAGAATCGAATGGAATAATGGTATTAAAGTGGGCACTTATTCGCACGATATACTTTGCTTACTTTTACATAAATATAAATACATACAAGAAGTTGATAAAAATTCATTTTATTGTTCGAATTATAAGCATGTACTAATATCAAAATTCTTAATTTTCGGTCATTCTCTTAAATTATAATAGATAAGATGTTCATAGTTTACTAATCCTCAATAAATAATTATTAAAGTTTGATTCGCTAAGAAATACAATTACAGTGAAATATTATTTTATGATATCTATTTTATCATTCGTGAATGTTATTCGATATAATAAACAGATTTTTCGTTCTATCATAAATATCTTTATTTTTCGACTAGTCAACCTAGAAACGTATATTAAAGATTAATTTTCATATTTATTCAAAAAGAAACTATATTCAAAATCAAGATATCTGTTTAACAAATCAATTCTACCACCATAAATACAATTTTCGATTAATAACTTTGAGAGTATAATCATGAAGAAGTTTTTTTGATTTAATCAAAGTTTTCAATATTGTCATCAGATCATTACGTTGCTTTGAAATACACAATGAGGATAAATAACGAGTGTTATTATTAGATTTTGATAATAAAAATCGAGCTATTGGTTGTAAATCTTGTTTATATAAATTAATAGTAAGATATTCCATTCGAGGAAAAACAGTAGTAAGTAATTGAATTTTTTCTAACGTAATTTCTTTACTAATTGTTACCTTTGTTATAGTATTCATATTAGATACCAATTTTGATAATTCATTTTGTTGAATTGAAACAGAATCAGTTCGATAAAGTAATATAGAATCAAGCTTCAATACATGAATATTATGTGTAAATTGTAAAAGTTCAATTAATTGTTCAAAAGAAAAATGATGACATTCAATAGTTAGTTTAGTCAATTGTTTCAATGGAAGAAGATGATTCAAATCAATGATAATTGAATCACGAGGTACTTCAAATGTTTCACAAAGTGTAAGCTTAGTAGCATTTGGAAAATTATCAATGGATATTTTTATCATATTTGTACTATGAATACAAATATGATGAATTGGATCTTCATTAATATCAAAACGAGATGACCAGATATTTGCGACCAGTTCATCATACAATACATAATCTTTTCTTCTGAAAAGAAATAGATGAGAAAATATAGTGAAATACATAAATTTTTCTTGTTTTTACCTATATGGATTTCTTGAATAGAAGACCGCAGCATTCGACCATGTTATCTGATGATAATGATGGTCAAAGAACCATTGATGTTCTATCCAAAATGTTGAATTAAATTTATTGATAAGAGTTTGAAA